TCCACAATGTATACTTGTACGCAAACCTTTGGTCAAACGTATTACTCCATGTTTCTGAGGAAATGGGTTGTATGACGCATCGTAATCCACAAAAGGTCACACTGAATTAGATCTTTTAGACTTCAAGGTGCAATAATATTTTCTTACACATTAAAAAACAATATAAAAGGGCTCAAGGTAGAGCAGGTATCTGCGACTAGAGTTTAAGAGAGGGTAAACATCCTTTAAAAAATACACTGCAGAAATATAAAACAAGGAAGAAACAATTCTGAAGCAAAAAAGTCAGAAACAGAGAAACCAAAGCTCTCTATATGCCTAGTGAGAATTTCAGAGTTTTATATAACCAGAAGTATCTCAGGTATTGTGTTTGAAATGGAAGTTTATAAACAAAACAAGAGAGAGAACTGAAAGTATTTTAAGGGTCAGTTTTTTTAAAAAAAAAGCAGTGCACATGATCGCAAGTGTGAATAAGCATGATTTTCAGGAACAAGATGAAAAAGAGAGAGAGAGGTAGACAAACTGGCAAGAATTCAGGATTACTGAAATGAAGAGATACCATATTGGGTTCTGAGAGAAAAGGTTACATAAAAATATTCATGATAGGCATGGCTCTTCCTATCTGACAGATTCTGTTTCCAAAGTCTGGTGTGTGACATTATCTCTTTCCTGCTGTATATTGTAATGCAGACATGAACCATCATTACAGCCAGGATAAGGAATCTTTGGGCCTCCATATGTTTTGATTGGCCATATCTATCAGGTGTTGCTAGTCTGGCCAGAAATAAGGAATTATGGGAGTTATAGGTAAACCTCAAGAACAGTGATTTCCAACCTTGGGAAACTCAGGTGTTCTTGGCGTGTACCACCAGCTGTGTTGGCCAGGTTTCTGGGAGTTGCAATCTAGAAATACTTGGGTTACTCAAGGTTGGGAACCACCGCTTTAGAGGGCCAAACTTCCCCAATCTTGCTCTTATTATGGTACATAGATCTGTTTCTTCTAATAAAAGAAATAGTTCTACATACGATGAAAGTATTTTTTGTGTGTGTGTGTGTGCTGTTAATTTTCAGTAGTGAGTTGACCACCAATTCTGTGTTATCTGACAACCTATGGATGAGTGTTGAAGCCCTTTTTAAAGTGTTTTGCAGAGGTTAAAACATCTGTTAGACTGCAGGTATTATGATTTTACATACAGCTTTTGATTACTTTTACATACAATTTTAAAATAATTGTGGCTTAAAATTCCAGCAATTGGAAAGCTCAGGGCTTGGAAGGTTAAAACTTAAAAGGAACTAGTTATATTCATGACTTCGTGGCAACCAGGTTTCTGTTGTCTTGTTCCAACTGCATATTACTTAGCCGATGCCCAGATAATAATAATCTTAGAACTGCAGAGCTGCAAGGGGCTCTGGGGGTCATCAAATCCAACCTCTGTCAAGGAGACACAGGTGAGGAATTGAATTCAAAGCCTCTGGCTTCGCACTGAGCTATCCAAGGCATGGAGTCACCAATTCAGATATTACATTTTGGAAATGTTTGTAGAAATACAGTAAACAAAACTGAAGAGTGAATCCCTTGTCATTTAAGACTGATAAAAGAACAGCATAAAATCTGAAACTTGCCTGGTAAAATCCTCTTTTAAAAAAATCTCTTAATACACTTTTTAAAAGTAACTTTGGAATGTAGCTAGGTCTTACTCATTAATCATAAGTAATTTAGATATTGTTTGATGGTATCAAAAACCACTGAGCAGTCCCACAGAACCAACAGGGACATACTCCCCCTGTCCAGTTCCCAATGTAGGTCATCCACCAAGGTAACCAAAGCTTTCTCTGTCCCATAACCAGTCCTGAAGTCAGATTGAAATGAATCTAGATAATCTGTCTCATCCAGGAACCCCTGAAGCTAAGAAGCCACAACCTGTTCGAGTGCCTTGCCAAAAAATGGAGTATTAAAGACTAGTGAATATTTATTTATTTATTTATTTATTTATTTATTTATTTATTTAATTTAATTTAATTTAATTTAATTTAATTTAATTTATATGCCGCCCACCCTACCCAAAGGTGTCTGGGCAGCTTTTTGAGTATTGTGGGATCCAAGGAGGGTTTTTTCAACAAAGCTCTTATTATTGCCTCCTTTAAGCATGCTGTAATTGACACATAAATTAAAGCAACACATAAGTGAGTGTGCTGCTTGTGATTAGTTACTTCCAGAGCCTGATCACTGTGCCCACTTGTGGTTTCCTCTAGCACTGGCATAGGACTGTGTTGAAATGGTTCTTAGTGCGCTACAGGGTGTCGTTATGTGACTGGTTCCCAACTTTTGAAATTAAAGGAGGGGAGTGTACCTGAGCAGAACCTGAGTAAGGGATACTCTGAGTTTTAGCCCAGAGCCCAAAGCAGGCTTTAAGAATACCAGAAAAGAGGAGGGGGGAAAATATTAAGTGTTGTAGCATTCACCCTTATTATGTTAAGTAGTCATGCATATTCATGTTGCAGGCTAATACTGCTGAGAGGCAGAGCCGAGAGATATGTAAAAAGAGGTGGGGTCAAAGAGTGAGTCAGTCGGAGTCAAGAGGGAGATGAGAGTGGAGAGGGAGATAGAGTGTGATATTTGGGAGATCTGAGGTGATTAGTAAGAAGAGTGAATAGTAACTGTTATATCAAATAGAAGATTGTTATTAATGATTGAGAAACCTGAAGAAGATACTTATGAATGATAATCAAAACATCTATAATCAATGAACTTGTTTTATTTAAAAGACAGTGAGGTTTGAACCTTCATTTTCATCCTTCCATAAGTAAAGTATGTTTAGTGATCAACTGGTGGCAGCGTCTGAAAAGGAGTACACTATTGGTTTGCCTTATGTGCTCTGTGTGTGGGAGTCAGGCAGGGGCCATGAGGTGCGAACGCCACAAGTGTATATAGTAGAAGTCCTTTATTCTAGGGATCCTCATCCGTCCTTTCCCAACTCTGTTTTATAATCTGGAAAGCAGCAGACATTTCAAATTTATAAGACTTCCCTTAAGTTGGCGGCTGATGGTGGCCCAGTCAAACCTTCGCTAGCACAGAACCCTCCAGATACTGTATGTGTTTGAACACACATCCGGTATTTATTTATTTATTTGTTCCTTCTTAGTATTTGCATACCTACTGTTTTAGCTTTAATATTGTCTTTTAATGATGTGAGCTGCCTCTTTATATTCATTGTTCTTAGCTTTACATATTGCCTTTTAATGATGTAAACCACTGTTGTATACAGTACTCATTTTTTTTCAGCTGTAAACATGGTCTTTCAAGGATGTAAGCCGCCTTGGGTCCCTTTTAAGGAGAAAGGCAAGGTGAAAATATTTGAAATAAAATAAATTATCCAGAGACAGCCTGGCCTTTGTTGGAGGTAGTACTATATATTTCAGTACATCTGAAGGGCGCTAGATTGAAACGGGCTAAGAGTCTGTGTTTCCTGAGCTGCCCTTTAGCTGAATCAAGCAAGTGACAGACATCTTGCCTGAGAGAGTACTAGCTACCTCACAAAGCAGTAAATCCACTGTATTGGTCTCCAGCAGATCTTAATTTCGCCTCACTTGGCTTCCCAAGGATTCCTTCAGGATTGGGGTTAAAAATCACCATTAGATAAAAAGCTTGTCAACAAATCCTGAAATGAAGGCCAACATATGCTCCTTAGTTGTTCCATGTATTTTGTGGCCGGGGGTGTGGGGGAGCTGCTAGTATGTTTATGGCATCCGCTGGTACTCCCTGAGGTTCCTCAGATGTGTGCTAGTGGTTCTTTGGTAGGAAGTTTATTCATGATGGACAGGCTTCCGCAGAGAGTGTTAAGTGTGTTTAAGAGTACCTTCTCAGTTTACGTAGGGTGACAGTGAGGTGTAATAACACAGTATGTCCAGTTGAAGAAATTTTGACAGGATGGATTTGATTTAAATCAAATTTAAATCACTAGCAGGGTAGATAAAAGCCAGTGTGTGGTTTAAAAAAAATTAAATCCATTATTTTATTTTATTTTTTAAATCATTACCGGTAATTTTATCCACCCTGCTAGTGGATCAAATCTAGCCTGGATTTCGAGCAGAATCTGGTACAGCCCTGTTGGTATGGTCTGCTTTAAATTTTTACTTTAATGGAACTTGTACCTTGAGATGAAAGGACAAACTCCATTATTAAGATTGTGCCATCAAATCAATTCTGGCTAATGACAACCCAATGAAGACTGCTCTGTAGTTTTTTTACTATTCCTTTCTTCCAGGGGCACTCCTTAAGACTGTGCCGCTGGCCCAGGACTCCATAGATAGGGTCTATTCCCTGGAGGGGCAGTGGGAAATCAGGCTCTCATACCTAACTGTTCCACTAGCAACTCCAGTATTGTTGTTATGTGCTGTAGAGTAGACCAGGTGAATTAATGACCTCCAAAATGCCCTACCTCTAGCAGCTTTGCTCCGCTCTTGCAAATTCAAGGTTGTGGCTTCTTTTATGGAGTCAGTCTTAAATTCTCATGATGTGCCAAAAGTACACCAGTCACAATCTCATCATTTTTGCTTCTAGAGGGAGTTCAGGCTCCTGTATAAGTCCTGTTAAAACCACTCCTTCTAGAGAAGACGAGAAGTTGGAGGGTTTGCTTGGGATTTGGGAGGTCCAGATTCAAAATCCTTGCAGAACCATGAAACTTAGTTAAGGCAGTTACCTGTTCTCAGTCTTGATCTACTTCATGGTTGTTGTCTAGGAATGTTGTGACGATACAGGGGCAAGGGAGAAGACTTGCACTACACAGAGAATGAGTATGATATGATGATGAATGAGAATGCTGATCTGGGGGAGCATCTTGGAATGAGAAGGGCTTGCTTGGGATCCTTAAGGCTGCAGAGGAGAGAACAGAAGAGAGGAAAGAGGTGTTCACCTGCGTCCAAATAAGGGTGGAAAGAAAAAAAAATAGTCTCTGCAATACTTATGTTCCTAACCATGTTCAAACTTTTCTTCCCTCCCACAGGCCAGCTGTTGTGTATCCTGCTTTGGGATGACCAGAGTGGCTCCCAGTTGCTGACAGCTCCAGCACTGAATGCAGCATGGCCCGTCTCATCCACGCCCTATGGAGTCTCTGCATCACCACCATCCTTGTCACCTCAGCCACACAAGGTAAGGGGAAATTTGAGAGAGAGACAGCTCTGGGAAGGCAAGAGACCACCTCTGCTTTGAGGCAGGCCTTGTGATTAATCTGTTCGTAAACCTCCACTGCACGGCCGCAGCATGAGCTGGGAGGGTCCAGAAAAGAAACAAAGCTCTCTTTGGGTACCAAACCGAAGAAGTGGGCCATTCTGCTATTTCTGAAATACAACCTTATTTCTTTTAGAATAAACAGTGAAAAGAATTTTTTAGAACAGCATTTAATAATTGCTTTTGTTGAGCATGTCAAAATATTTTCCAATTAAGTCCTGGAAACAGAAGTACTTTATTTAGAAAAGTAAAACGCTTTGCAGTTATGTGTGTGTGTGTGCGTGCGTGCAAGTGTGCAATGAAACAGTGTTTAAGATTAACCCTTCCCAATAAATAGATGTTTTCTCCTCAAGTGCAAAAAGCCATCTTTTCGGGTGCTTGCTAAACTAGATCTGTTTTTTTCCTACAGTGTGTGAATCTATATTCAGAGATAGGCAACTTGTATTTTCCAGATGTTATTTGACTCTAGCCTCATTGGTCTTAGCAAGAATACCCAATAAAGAGGGGGGTAATGGGTGATGTACTCCATGGACCTGTGGAAGGCTGCAGGTTGCCCATTCACAATCTAAATGCAAAAGTTAAACAAACATATTGAAATTAGCCAAAAATCTGAAAATGGAACCACATAAAGAAATAACTACAGCTGTTACTCGGGGAGTTTAGTTTTATCAATAGGTTGGGATGTATATTCACTGTGGGGATGACGTTTTTGCAGAATTTATAGGCTTCAATCATGGCCCTGTGGTATCAACTCTTTCCCTATGTCTGAAACCATCCTCAGATTTCTCTGTTTCCATTGCATAACACAGCTCTTGTTTTTCTGAGAGTAGCAAGTGCAACAGCTGTATATGTAACATCTGCAAGAGAAGAATTTCCTGATTTGGAGTGGTGAAGGAAGGCTTCACTGATACAATTTTGATCGGCTATGCTAATAGAAAACCAAATAGAAAACCAGATAGAAAGCAAGCAGACAGAGATGAAGCCTAGGTTGGTTGGTTGGTTGTTTAGTTAGTGAAATGTCTCACCTTTTCACTAAAATAGTGTTCAAGGTAGCTAAAGTTGTCTTTCATTTTCCCTCCTCTTTCCTGAATCAGCTGATATGTTTCATTTTACACTTATTGAGCCATTTTGCTATCCATTTCTTTTCTCCATCATTCCCAATGGAGCCTCAAAAATATATCTGATTTATCATCTTGCATGTAATTTGCACGAAGAGTCGGACACGACTAAACGACTAAACAACAACAACAACATGTAATTTGTGACATAGTAGTTAGAGAGCAAAGTTAAGCACGAGGGCTGAGAAAGAGGCTGATCTTTTCACTGAACTCTGTGCAGTTTCCAAGTCCACTTTGTACCTCAATGTTTGTACTTTCCCTTTCAGTGATCTCTTACATTATCTGTTACATACAAGGATGTTTCAAAAAATTACAGCAATTTTCTGCATGCCTCTTGAGCAGTGATTCCCCCCCCCCATTAGTTCCCACTAACACCTCCAAAGGATCCATCATGCAAGAGAGTGAACTTAATCTCCTTGAGTGTAGTATACATTAGATATTAGGAGGTGGGTGCTACAGAGGTTTGGCCCCTTGTAGTGATTTTCTTCACACATATGCAATTTGTTTGTTCAGGACCCAATTCATTACCATATCTGTAATTCTCCATCCCTTTCCCCACCACTCCTGTTACAATTAGGTCACTTGATGCAGCATGTTCTCTATATGTTGTTGCTTTGGGGGATGGTTTTCCTTAGTTTTTTTTTCCTCTTACCTTGTTTTGCATCAAGTGGCTTAACTCATTTGTTTAAATCATCAGGAGTGGTTTGTCCTGTATGTAAACAGTCTATGTTTGGGATCAATGGCTTTCTGTTTGTAGAAAGTACATGTTCAAACATGGTGACAGAGTGGGTAGCCTTCCTTTGGCCATGTGGTAGGACTGACCAGATAGTCTTTGGCCCTTTCCATCTTGCTCTCTAGTGCTGGACATTCAGCCATAGCATCCCATAGGATGCTTATTTGTATGCCCTTCGGGTCCAAGGTTGCATACCTGGGTTGCCCTTGTCATGTTCAGCTGAATTTGTTCGCCTGCTGAAGATAGGAAGTGTTGATTTCTGGCATGAATTTGAATGCTGAACTTGCAGCCTGAAGCTAGAACAGCCTGCGGAGGAAGAAGGGCATGTGAAACAGGGATTAGCACCTGGGTGAGTTGCCGGTAAGTGCGGCTAGTTCAGTTTTCTTTTTAAAAAGGAAAAATGTGTAGGTAGGAGGAGGAGATTCATTATATTCCTTGGAAATTTAATGCTTCAACTTTTCTGATATGTCTTAAGATAAGAGAGACACATATAGGAATTCAGTCTCTCACATTAATCCTTCAAGAACATGTCTGGCAAGCGTATAAGATGGCACTACCCCCTTAAATTCTACACTATGCTAGGAACATAGGATTCCACCTCTTAAGTTTTTGGAATGGTGGGGGGAATAGAAGAAGATTTCTTTTTTAATCGGATCCACAGAGCACCATCTGTCTCGCACTCTAATTTTAGAATGGATGAATCTGACTAGGAGGAGAATGGGGTTGATTGGAAGTCCTCCGTCTCCTCCTACAACAACAGGAAATCTGCATCATTGAGTTGAGGGTAGAGGATGTCTCCCTTTAGTCAAATGATGCTTGGATTCAAGATCTATGAAAATTTAGGAGTTTTTGGTGTAAAGAAAAGGTAAAAGTTTCTCTCCTCACTGGGCACCAAATGCTGGGATTCCATGGATTATTGCATACTAATTTATATCCCAAAGGGAGATACCATCTGATAGCTTTCTTTGCTTTGGTCTCCCTTGAGTCTATGTTCCGTAGTGGGCAGGCAATGGAATATTGTCTACCGGATCCTCCAGAGGGCGGCTATGTTTAGGTACCTGAACTTAACAGCCATGTGAAAAAGAAAGTTGTTCTCTTGGAATTCTATAGTTTTACATATCAGGACATAATAAAACTCATCTGGTCCTTATCAGGTCTGAAAATTAGGTAAGTACAATCTCAGATGAACAACAACACACATGACATATTACACTGTGCTGTGATTTATTTGACAAAAATAAAGTCAAAATGGAGAAGCCATGTGTGAAAAACCAAGTACACCTTATGATTCAGTAGCTTGTAGAATCACCTTTAGCAGCAATAACTAGAAGTAATTGTTTTCTATATGACTTTATCAGTCTCTCACATGGTTGCAGAGGAGTTTTGGCCCACTCATATTTACAACATTGCTTCAGTTCATGGAGGTTTGCAGGCATTTGTTTATGTACAGCTCTCTTAAAGTCCCGCCACAGCATTCCAATCAGGTTGCGGTCTGTACTTTGACTGGGCTATTCCAACACCTTGATTCTTTTCTTTTTCAGCCATTCTGTTGTAGATTTGTAGGTGTGCTTGGGATCAATGTCCTGTTGCATGACACAATTTCAGCCGTGCTTTAGTTGTCAGACAAATGGGTTCACATTTGACTCTAAAATACTTTGGTATACAGAGGAGTTCATGGTCGACTCAATGACTGCAAGGAGCCTATGTCCTGTGGCTGCAAAATAAATCCAAATCATCACTCCTCCACCACCATGCTTGATAATGTGCTTGGGATCAATGTCCTGTTGCATGACACAATTTCAGCCGTGCTTTAGTTGTCAGACAAATGGGTTCACATTTGACTCTAAAATACTTTGGTATACAGAGGAGTTCATGGTCGACTCAATGACTGCAAGGAGCCTATGTCCTGTGGCTGCAAAATAAGTCCAAATCATCACTCCTCCACCACCATGCTTGATAATTGGAGCTGATATGCTTGTGTTGGTTTTTTGCCAAACATGGTGCTGTACATTATAGCGAAACATCTCCTCTCTGGTCATGTCTGTCCAAAAGACATTGTTCCAGAAACCTTGTGGTTTGTCCATACGTGTGTAAGCATCCTTCAGTCTCGAGAGACTATGGTAATGTGCTCTGTATGGAGGACTTGGAACAGTGTCTAGTGTGGCTGAGGAGGCCAATTCGAGAGTGACAATCCCTTCCACACTGAAGACAAATATAGCCTGTCCCCTGTCCAGCTCCCTGGTTTTGCTGCTTTTGGGACTGCCTCTTTGCTTCAGCCTGCTGGGCGAGGGTCTCTTCAAATTGGGAGAGGCCGTGATGTACCACCTGCCTCCAGGCTGAATGCTCAAATGTCAATGTTTCCCATCTGTTGAAGTCCATTCCTAAGGTCTTCAGATCCCGCTTGCAGATGTCCTTGTATCGCAGCCATGGTCTCTCTCTGAGGCGATTTCCCTGCACTAATTCTCCATACAGGAGATCCTTTGGAATCTGACCATCAGCCATTCTCACGACGTGCCCAAGCCAATGTAGGCGTCGCTGTTTCAGTAGTGTATACATGCTGAAAATTCCAGCTCGTTCTAGTACTACTCTATTTGGAACTTTGTCCTGCCAGGTGATGCCAAAAATCCGTGGGAGACAACGCATATGAAAGGTGTTCAGCGTCCTCTCCTGCCGTGCACAAAGAGTCCAGGACTCACTGCAGTACAGGAGTGTACTCAGGACACAGGCTCTATAGACGTGGATCTTGGTATATGCTGTCAGCTTCCTATTAAGCCATACTCTCTTTGTGAGTCTAGAGAACATAGTAGCTGCTTTCCCAATGCGTTTTTCCAGCTAGACATCTAGGGAGAGAGTGTCAGAGATCATTGAGCCAAGGTACACAAAGTCATGAACAATTCTTGCACGGAGATGGTAATAGAAGGAGGTGAGTCCATGCCTTGGCCCATGACTTGTATTTTCTTCAGGCTGATTGTTAGTCCAAAGTCTTGGCAGGCCTTGCTGAAACGATTAATGAATTGTTGGAGGTCTTCAGCAGATTGGGCAACAATGGCTGCATCATCGGCAAAGAGGAA